CAAGAGGCTATTTTAAACTGAGACAACTTTGCTTCAATGCTATTTGAGTACATGTTTTCAGCCCATCAATTGCAGCTTAAAAATATACATTTCCTCATATGTGTATCAGGCCCTGCCTACACAGCTATTTGCCTGAGTACAGAACAGTACGTCTAATAAATATCATAAAGGCTCTCCTCAGATAAACCAATATAGTTTTACATTGTTAAGCCATTTTCCTTCATTCACTAATTTCTATTTTTAATAAAATATTTCATTAAAAGATAATAACACAAAAATACTATAAAGTCTGGAGCCCTTCCAGTTGCTGCATCATACATAGATTTGCCTCTGCTTCTCATAATGACTTTAATAATCCTCTAGCCTTTTTTATTTGATCATTTAACATTAGCAAATACAGCATTCAGCAAGGAAGCATAGCTCTCTATTTAAAGACAAAAAACAGGAGAGGTCTCTTCTGAGAGGACGGTAAAATTTGCCAAGTGTTTTTTCTTTTCCCTGTAAAAATTTGTCTTACTTAGAAATATTGTCACACTGAACAAGATAGAATTCCCCCATGGCTGCAGATGGGCAGCCAGTTCGACAGTAGCTAAGAAAAAAGCTTAAAAGAGGAATGGCACTTCTTCTGAACTACATAAGGAAATTTCAGACTATTCAAAGGTAATAAATATCCCCGATCATATATGTGATCACCTTCTGGATCTGGTATACGAGTATTCAAATCCTTGATCACTGCCCTTCATATGATTTGAGGTCAGGAGGCTCTCAGAGTTTGATGGCTGACAGAATTATCAGAGCGGTCAAAAGGGGATTAACAGGCAAATAACTGTTTTTTCATTAAGGATCTAGCAGTTAATGTTGTGCTGATTTTTTGCCATAGCCACTGATTCCACTTCCACCCTACTGCTCTGTTCCCGCACGGCACTTGATGTTAAATCTGCCTTGTCACACGTGAATGAAGGGGAAGAATGTAGCATGCCAGTAACTAGAAAATCATATTCATTTATCATACTATAAAAATATTTAAGTAATAATAAATATAAGGTGCTTTGGATTTCAGAGAATAGAGGCCCTTTGGAGCCAAGTCACTAAAAAGCCATTAAAACAATGAAGAAATGGAAAACAAAATCTGTATCGGAACAGAGATCACCTGGACCATACATATACTTGAAGCTTCAGGATTGTAACTGCTGTAAAAACTGAATTTGGACCCTGGGAATGTGTCGTAGGATCCAACATAACGTAAAATAGTAAGTTAGAATACCCTCCTCTAAATGAGAACAGAAACAATTTCAAGAAGATATCAGTGAACCATTAAAAAAAACAAGGCTATTCTTCCCTGCTTCCCAAGCAGACAAAAGAGGTACATGACAAGGAGCTTATTGCTCATGACTGGTTTATGCCTACCTAAAACATGGAGGTGCACAGACTAAGTAATTAATGGCACATAATTTTAAGGTCTTCTGGGTTTATTCAGAAAGACAGAGTGAAGCATCTGGACAAAATACGCCAGCTATAAATTCTGCCTCAGATGCTGACTACATCAGCAGAGAATCTGGCTGTCTAATTGTCTCTAAAAACAACACAATAACACACACTTGCAAACAGAAGAGAAGAAAAAAAAAATCTTTAGTACTGAAAGCAGTTTTTAAAAGATCAAAGAAAAGCTAGATGAAAAAAAAGGATAAAATTTCCACAGACTCATAAATAGAGGCTCCCACAGTATAGCTCAAGAGCCACTTGTGGCCTACAAATTTTCTGAATGAAGCACCAAAAACATTTTTCAATTGTGTCCACACTATTAAAAGTTATATTTATGATATTTTTTATGCTGCCATCAGTTAACTGACTCCCAATGAGAAAAGTCTCAGAAACCATAACTTACAAATTATATTAAAATAAATGAAGAGCAATTAAACAAGATTTTATCTAGCTCTATTCCCCACTGTTACCGAAATTGAACAATTAATATCAGCTATTGCTCAGAAGTTACATGATAGGTATAAAAGTCACAACTTACCAGCTTTGACAATTTATAAAGAACAGTTCAGCTAATTCAGTGAAAAACTAAACTTGAGATTATGCTTAGAGAAAAGAAACACTGCAGAAGTTTTCAACTGTTTCTAAAAGCCATATCATCATAAGCAAATAAACTGTAGATAGATATGTGAGATACAACACAGGTGAATACTGTTTTCAAATGTATGATAGGATTAATCCCTTTAAGCAGTAGAAATTCTTCTGTATTAACAAAAGGAGATTATTTCAAGAAAACTATGAAATACTAGAGAAAAATATGGATCTTCCAGTTAACGACAACACTGTACGGTTCAAGAGCGTTGAAGAGAAGTGTTATAAGACATCTATTACAACAGAAAAGTTTAAGAGATCCTCTCAGGGAAAATAAAACCAAACAAAAACATTTAAAAGTGACAGTACAGATGGCATACAAAGAATGTTCACTGAACCTTTGTCTTTATCTGAGAGAAATGTGACAATTAGCAAGTACCTCCTGAAGGAAAGGATTTCTGTCTCCGAAGACACTTCGACTGGGAACGAGTCCAGGAGAACCTTGATGGCTTTACTTCATCTTACTTTACCTTTGCCTTACTTGAATACCTTACTTTATCTGCAGGCATGCCAGATTTACAACCAACCTGCAACTAAGGGATGTCAGGAGACTCTTCCCAGACTTCACAAAATATTCTTAAATGCTCATCTATGAGCCAGTGATGTACTTCTGTGCATTATTGTTGGTCCTATAAGAGCAGGCAGGATTTATGCTTATGCTCTTGCTGTACGCGCCTTGTCAGCTTAGTTAAAAAAAAAAAAAACACCATGTTCAATATTTTTAAATTGTTGGTTACTGCAGTGACTAGAGAAATATTATGAAAAGAAAAGATGAAATACATAGAACTCTGCTATAAAGTGTGGGCCAAGGGATGAAATATAACTTTCAGAACCTTTATATTAGGAAAGGATATTTGGATATAAGTGCAGTCCTTTTTTGTCTTCGTTAATCTATAGAATACTAGCTGAAAATTCTGTGCAGTTTTTATGTGGCTGAACGCAATCCCACAAGTACGGAACTTCACCAGTGAAAAATACTATTACAATGCATATCTTAGAGAAAGATATGAAAAACATCTTAACTAATATAGCGGACCATTAATTAAATATATATAGGTATAAATGGATGGAAACGTAACAAATGCAAGACGTAAAATCATCATCGTAAAACATAACGATGTATCCTAACTATGACCCGGCATCTGTAAAAGGGTCAGAGCTAAGGCTGTGTGGCAGATTTATGAATGGCATTTTCTGATTTTAGTTTGCCTTATCTGAAGCAATAATTTCTCTGTCCATAGCTATGGTACTAATTACATACATTCTACTTGGAACGTATGTTTAAACTAGAGTTCTAGTCATATACACCAGCATGTTAAGACAGAAACAAAACACTCAAGATCTATTCATTTAATGAAAAAATTGGCTGCAGTCTAAGTTTTTGAACTACAAAGAGATTAGACACCTTGCGCTGCTTGCATTCCAAAACTGAGTTTAATAAAATCAAACTCAGCTCTTATCTGGTCCTCAAGATGAGAAAAATGCACATTCAACATCAAAGCACAGAAACACCTGATTAGTGACAGTAGAAACACCTGATTAGTGACAGTGGCATTTTCCCTTCATCTTTCCCCTCTGCCCCTCAAGATTCTCAAACTTGGCCTATCTTGCCAGCCCAGACTGGACTTACAAATGCTCAGTTGTGGGATGGATAAACATGATGAGGCACTCTTCTCTCTCACCCCAAAACAGTTGATTTTTCTTGGAATAAGTAAACTTTAGATGTGCTTGAGAAAGGGAGAACCAACCTGTAATTTAACAATTAGCTCCTTTCACACATAAAACATAGGTTCCAATTCTTTCTATTCCAAACACTTACTATTTTGGTAAGATTTCCTGCAGAAATAGGTTTAGATAAAGCTAGTGAATACTCTTCATTAATAAAACCAATCTTACATTTTTAGTCTTCTACCACAAGGTTTTCTTCTGTTTCAGAGTCAATATTACTTATATGAAACTTTATGATTTCCTGTTCTTCTTATATACTTTTAATTTGTAAGGGCTTTTTTTTTTTTTTTAAGGATTAAAAATAGCAAACTTCTACCTGCTTTTGATAATTTTAAGATTCTGTAACATAGAAGAGAAAGACAGTTATCATGATCAATCCCAAACTGTATTACAAAAAAACTCTTCCCCCTGAGAACACACTGTAGCTATTACTCAATAGCCTATATTGTCCTATATCTCTAATTTTGACTCCAAAGTTAAATACCGTTTATCTAAATGAAATGAATTAGTGGTATGCCATGGTCAGCCTTATCATTCTGGGTTGATTCTTTGCTGACATCATTATTACACAAGTGTCTTCTAAGAAACTGTTTGGCATTTACCTGAGTTTGCATAAAATAAGAGTGAGGCTTTTAGTATTGCAGGATAAAATTAATACACATACTGGTATGCACTTCTGGAATGCAGGAATTGACTCTCCCCTCCAGGACTCACAGAACAAATATTACGTATTTGGAAGTTTGTTTTAATTAACATAGATTGATTTGAGACTATCAGAGCTTTTCACACTAAACTGCAAAATGATATGAAATCTTGGGTTGAGTTTTACCCACTACGGTCATGAGTCTACCAACCAGAGACCACAAAAAAAAAAAAAGTATATATATATATAAATATTAACAGAAAAATCCTACCTCCATCAAAGAAAACGTTCCTATTAATGTTGATGGAAATTTGGCCAAGCATATTATCATAGGATTTGTGATGTTTCTTTAATTGCTCTTTGTTTTAATATGTTTCAACTCAATAAAATGAGTTGCTTCCTTCTTTAGGAATCATATCAGCTGTCCAAAGAAGTTTTAAAAGACAGCAAGGCAGACACCAATGCTGGCAATTTGTGCTCACTGCTGTGTACATACCACCTTTCATCATTCCCACTTCATAGCATTTTCTTAGTCGGCAAGCCTGGCAACTTTTTCTTCTGTTCTTGTCGATGGTGCACTGGTTAGTAGCTGGACACATGTAGTCATTGTGCCCTGAAAAGCCAGAGGGGGAGAAAAGAAAGGACACAGCTATAAACAATCTCCAGTTACAGAAATTTCAAGACTGCCTAGAATACTTTATCTTATTTCTCATTGAGAATTTAGTACAGCACAGTACAGCACTTCATCTCAGGGAGAAGGCAGGGTTACGATTGCAATTTATCATGAAAGTGTTGATATGGATAATGAAGCCAACATCTATTCACAATACATTTATTCACAAGTGCTTTAGAAGTACTGTTTAAAACAAAATGACAACTTCTAAGGATTAATTAAAATGATTAACAATTAAAGCATTCAAAAAAGAGGATAGATGAATATGAACGAATCACTTGACTTCCTTGTGCTTAGTTTAACAAATACAACGCCATCTGATCCATATGCCTCTTTTGAAGTTTAACAAACAGACTGCGTAAAATGGTTAGAGGTTTATGAATGAAAAAGGCCTAGGTGAGGAGATTTTTAAATATACACCACACTTTGGGGCAGTTAAAACAAACAACAATTAAAAACAAACAACAATATAAAATAGAAGCAACAACCATTGCTTTAGTTGTATCTCAGGGATAAACTGGTCTCCAATTCCAACTGCATGCGTACTCATATGAGATATATGCAAAAGTTTTCTATCACTACAAATTGTTAGAATTATGGTGTGGTACAGCCTAGAGCGATACTAGCACCTTTTCCTTCAGAGCTCCCCTCCCTCACCGATTACCCTCTGCATCTCAGTTCTTGCTGCAAACATTGTCAGCATGCCGTAATTTCTTACTGCCAACAAGCCTCTATTCTAATATTCTCCTAAAAAGAAGTACCAAATGTGAGCTTAAGTCTGCTTTAAAATTATTTTCCTACCATAGATGAAGTTTAGCAAGGATGAAAAACACTATCCAAAATGATCTTACTGGTTCTTTGTATTCATCTAAACACAACTAAGGTACAGCACACAATGAAACAATTTTACTGCAGAACTGTTTGTTCTCTCTTTCAGGTCAAGGGATCAGCTTGAGGTAGAGTAGGGTGGGGGCTTGACAAGAGGCCTTGGTCTCATCAAATCATCTATCCTTGACTACAAATTAGAAAATAGAGTAAAAACGACTATCAGATTACACCAGGAACATCTGCTCTCTAATGCTACATAACTGAGATCCAATCAAAATAAGCAGCCAAACTGTAAACTTGTTAATAGGGTGACAGCAGACTACACACTGTCTCAAATAGACAGAATTATTATTTGCTAGCCCTACTTAGCAGAGCGGTATATGACTGGAAAAATCTGAATCCACAGGCTTTGCTCCAGGACTGAGGTAAGGAGATAGAACAGAAATGCTACCTCAACCTCAGCATGAAAGACCATTTTAATTTTCAGTTCCTCTGGTATGATACAGACTGTTCTATATCTGATTCAAAACATTTCACATGTAAGAAAAAAAAAATCAAGTCAGAAAGAAAATAGTCTCAACCACATAAAGATGCAATATCTACATAGAAAAGTAACAGAAAGTAAAGCTACATATATAAGAAAATGCAATTTTATTTGGTTACATTAAACAACAATAAAAGATTTGATGCACCTGTCCTCAACTGTCAGCCTTGTTTTATAAGCCAAACTCTGAAATACGATCAGGGAAGGACTGCAAACTTTAATTACACTTTTTAAAAACAAAGTAAAAGCTTGACAGTTAAAGTATCTGATCTTCATCCTAGGAAAGTTAAAAGTAAATTCATAAAGGGAACAAGAGCAGGCCCCGAATTCAGCAAGTCATTCAGAACAACATAACACACTGTAGTACAAGCAGACAAATGTTCCCGTTAAGGTCAAAGCTGAATGCAAGCTTACCGCTGTTGCTGGACTGCAGCATATTAGGTTCAACACTTAGAAGAAAAGTGACACCGTGCAAAAATCAAAAAATCAAGCGGAATCAAAATCAACAAGACGGTCATCCTTTTTCAGAGTGCTTAGGTAGGTGACAACCTTCTCTTTTGCTCTGAACCGAGATTTCTCTATGCAAGTTATAAGCTTTTGGGAACAGACTCTTGGGTTTCCAGCATAGCATACACAAAATCATCCTATTTATGGTCGAGCCATAGTCCCTATTGAAATGAACATGACTCACATTATCATATTTTTACAGTGAAATGTTTTTAAATAGATGCTTTCAAGGTTAGCATAATTACTCTGTTCTCATGTGCAAGACCTGCAGCACCTTTGACAAGCCACACTTCTTTCAAAGTACTTGACAGACTTCACAGAATAAATCCTGTAAAATTCTGCATGCAAAAAGAAGAATCTGTGTGTGAGAGACACAAGTCTTCAGATTATGAGTGCCATAACTAACTTCATTGTTTAGACTTCAAACATGCTAAAGACCTAGGAAGAAGATAACTCACTTAATATTTCTTGCATTTCTTTTTATTTAGTTTAACCAACGTGCCTTAAGACGACTGGAACAGGCATAAGCAACTTTGAGAAGAAAACTGATAATTAGAGTAGGCAGAAGAAATGACCTCATGCATGAAGGAAGAAGGGGAAAGAAAGGAAGGAATCTTTCCTGCTTCTGCACAATACCATCTGGTTTCAAGTATTCAGGCACAGGAAGTAAGGAAGGAAGTTTCCTGTGCAAGGAACAGAGATGGACAAGAGCATTCTAGCTTGGGATGCCACGGAATGGGAAGAGGTAGAAGAATACAATTAAGGAAGAGGTAGCACCCAGAGACTAGCTTTATTTTTAAGAGAAACAGTATAATTTAATAACTGCTGTAATGTGTATTGTCTCTTAACTTTTCTGCCTTTTATCCTTAAAGCTTGTCTCTTGGCCAAACCGGTTCAAAATGATTTGACTTACTAGAAGGAATCCCTCACTGCTGCGGAGAGTTAACCTGAAAGCAGGACGCATGAAGAAGTGCCCAGCTGCCCTACGTATCATTGTCATGGTCTCCCAAGAGTAATATGTGCTATAAGAGAGGCTAATTAGACCATTAGGCTAGTAGGTATCAAAGGAATACTGAGAGAAAGAAATGTCTTCTGTGACCACCGATATTTTTAAAGGAAAGCATACAACACATGGACTCTCTGGTCCATGTCCTGCTACTTGTCCATGTTACTGCTTCTTGAATGTAAGTTACCAGATAACCTGCACAAAATTAAAGGTGGTGAATCTACTCGGGTAGCACTCTCCTCTTACTTATCTCACCTTGTTTCAATTCCCATATATATATGTATTTAACCTGCGCTGTGGTGAACTACAAAGGATGAGATTAGGGGAGCTGCTGCAGGGGCTTGCGGGGAGGAGGGTCTGCTTTTTCATGGTATCTCACTCATTGTACTGTAAGGCAGAGTAAAATTAAGTATTTTTACATCACTTTCCATAGCAGGGTAAAAGATCTGGCCCCTTTCCCAAAGCACTGATTTGAGATGTGATATTCTGAATGACAGCGATCAACATAGGAGCGGGGGCGAGGCTAAGGAAGTGCAGTGTCACCAAGAAGATAATAGCTGAAATTAGAATGATTTTGACCTTACTCTAAACCTACTCATCATAATCAGAGCTGTTTCTTATTGCGCACACCATCTAACTTTCTATTGTCACCATGAGTCATATGGCTAGTGTTTATGTTCACAGGCTCACATAGCTGTCAGCATGAGGGCTCTCATGCTACATGTGGTGCATGCAACAGCAGAGCATGCTTCAGGCGGGGTGGGAGTATCATTTATCTTTGAGGATTTCAGTCAGCAAAACACTTCATATTTCATTTAAGTTAAGTGTTACTACATCCAGTAGAACATTTAAGCATCTGTGTATTTCTGGTGAGTATTCCCAGCAGAGTATATGTGGTTAAAATTAAGTACATGCTTGAGTGTTTTGGTGAATCGCAGCTTTGAAGATCTGAGTTCATATTGTCCTTGACCAGCAAGGGTGCAAATTGCGGTCATTTTACTGTATTAACAGTAATTAACAAAACATATAAATATGTTTTTTCCTAAATGCGTAGACAGTTGCTGTGTTATATTCCAGTAACCATCAGAATTTTCCTGAGGGAAAAATTAGTGTCAGTGTCAGGAAAAAAACAAACAAACAAACAAACAATGAACTAACGAAACCCATACGTCAGCATTGACAACAAATGGCTTAATAACGTTCAATAACATTAAATTTTACAAGGCCGATAAAGGAACATTTTTAATCAGGTAAATTTTGTATGACACCTAAACCAATGTAATTGAATCAACTCAACATATACTTCAAGTGAAACCAGTGATAACTATTATTCCTCTAATTACATTCATTTAATTATTTATTCATTATTTCAATCTTCACATTACACAAATTCTCACACTGCTTTTTACCTATCTGCATAAGGAGACCGTAAGCCGTTACCTGGAAGCACCAGGCCATTCCGCAAACTTACTGTGAGGGTTAAATCAGCAGAATTTCATATACCTAGGTGAAGGGAAGGCTAGAGTGTGGGGTTTATCCCCACCTTAAAGTGTGGATCAAAGAGCTGAGTGACAAGTGGGAGGAATAGGTTACAGACTAAAGGCAAAACCTTGGAAAGAATAGCCTCAACAGCAAGAGGACAGTTTTCATAAACCGTAAGAAAAAAATGTGCCTGGATAATAGTCTTGTTACATATGCTAATCCTATGTGAACAAATATTGAGTGTAAATTAAAAGTTATACCAATTTTAAGTCCCAGTAAAACTGCATATTGATTTTAAAATTCCACTTTTTTCTAATAGGTTTCACAAAAGAACAGAAGGTCATGTCTAATTCCGTTATAATCACAGATGCTCAAATTCACAGCCTAATTACCCTCAGACAAGGTCTCTGGATTTGGAACTTAAGTTCTCTTAGCAACTACCCAGCCCGGCTGATAAGATGAATCATTTTCTGTGTTTAAACTATCAGGACATTATTATATGTGACAGTAAGGAAAAGGGCCTAGCAAATTGCAAAATATATTTCTTTTGCATCTAGTGAATAGAACCTCCTA